GCCTACAAGGAAGACCCGTTAATATGACTGTTATTCAAATTTATGCCCCAACCACCAAAGCCACAGATGAGGAAATTGAAGAATTTTATCAGCTACTACTCTGAAATTGACCAAACATGCAATCAGGATGTGTTAATTATCACTGGTGACTGGAAAAGGGCCATAGTCTAGGAAATTCCACCAGTTTCAGACAATATGCTTTGTCTTTTTTATGATTTTGAGTTTTAGTCCCTGTTTTTCAACCACTCTATCTAGAACCTTATATTATGACCCCTTCCAGAGCAGTCAATAGTGGTAGCCAGGCACTATCTAGTTCTTCTGGTCACAGGAGGCTAAGGTTCACCTAGTCCATTGGTAGAATTCACCTGTGAAGCCATCTGGGCTAGGATTTTTTGTGTGGATTTTTTTTTTTTTTTTTTTAAATGACTTCTTCAGTTTCTTCTTTCATTATGTCTGTTCAAATTTTCTACCTTAGCCTATTATATTTTAAGTAGGTCATATGTTTCTAGAAATTTGTCCATTTCTTCTAGGTTTTCAAATTTATTACAGTTCCTTTATAGTATTCAGTTATTTTCCTTTTAATTCAGTTGGTTCTGTTGTGGTGTTGCCCTTTTATTATTTGCATTTTTCTCTTTCTTTTCCTTTATTAAATTTGCTCATGATTTGTCAATTTTGTTAATCTTTTTAAAGAACTAACTTCTAGACTTTTTAATTTGTTCTGTTGTTTTTCTGTTTTACTTATTTCTGCTCTAACCTGTATTATTTCCTTTCTTCTGGAAACTGTAGGCACTTTTTTTCGCTGCTTTTTTCCTAATTGTTGCAGCTGTTGGGTTAAGATGTTGATTTTGGTTCTTTCATTATTGTTGTTATTGTTACTGTTATTATTATTATTATTATTTGGATGCAAATTTACAAAACAGATTGGTTTTACACTGTGGTGGTTACGTTTGTGTGTCAACTTGGCTAGGCCTGGTTAAGTGGTTGGGCAGCTGGTGGTAGTTATTCCCCATGATGAGACTGGCAGTCAACTGCACGGTGGGATCTACCACAAGCAGCTGAGTAGCTGCCTTTGGGATGTGGTCTGCTTCCTGTATATAAGGAGAAGCTTTGGGAATGGTCTCTAGCCTGTGGCACGCTTGGACCCTGCTTGTAGCCGTGTCGTTGCTCAGCAGCCTGCTATGCTCTGCCAACCTTGGGACTTACAATGGACTTAAGTTAATGGCCTACTGTGTGGTTTGGTAACATCGGGACTCTTTTTACTGTCAACCTTGAGCTTG